TGTATTTTCAATAAAACTGACTGATTTAAGACATTTGTGTGTGTAGAATGAACAATGAGTTTTTGACACAAGTAAATCTTTGTTAAAATAACACTGGCATTTATTTCAAATCCTACAAAACATATATTAAAAGGCTTCAAACAAATCTGGTCACATTAAAAATTCTTTAAAAAAAAGGAAATCCCTGAAGAGCAAAATTTGGTCTGAAATGGACTGTAAAATGGTATCCCATGAAAAAATGTCACATAATTCTACAAAATGTTCTTTCCAATGTACACCTTTTAAGACTTCATTATTTGCATATCTTGTACATGTCCATTTGCATTTTTCTTTTAAACCTTCTCTCATTCTATTGGGGTCTCTCTTCAGTTAGTTGCTCTCCAGGTCGCTCACTCGCTTGGTCAGCTGCTCAACCATCTCTCTCAGCTCGTTCACCTCATTCTGCAAGGCCTGCACGTCCTGTATATGAAATAGAATGATCAATTACACAATACTTTACAATTCACTGTGTTAGAGGTTAAATAATTAAAAAGGATTCCCTTTGATCTCTTACCACACTGTCAGACTGTCGGTTGCTTAAGGAAGATGATGTGGTGGCCATCAAGCTCTTGATGACTTTGAACTCTTTGTTTTTGGTGGTAGCCACAAAACCATCTTTCAAGGAGATCAGGATTGGTGCCCCATTTTTACCAGAAAACCAATCATCTGCCTCCACTGATGGCTCTGGACCAATTGTGTCGGGGTAAAGGTCTTCTTGAAACAAGTCAGACTAAAGCAAAGAAATGATAATGCTGGATTAAGACAGTGGAACAAATAAGCAGCACTTAATCAAACGTGTGGCATTAATAAACTACCATTCAAAAAATCTGGGGTCAGTACAGTTTTTTATGTTTTTGAAAGAAGTATAATAACACACTGACCAAGGTTGCATTTATTTGATCAAAAATACAGTAAAACAGTAATATTGTCAAATATTATTCCAATTTAAAATAACTCTTTTCTATTTTTAATATATTTTAAAATGTAATTTATTCCTGTGATGGAAAAGCTGAAATTTCAGCATCATTACTTCATTCTTTAGTGTCACATGATCCTTCAGAAATCATTCTAATATGCTGATTTGCTGCTCAAAAAAAAATGTCTTAGTATTATCAATCTTGAAAACAGTTTTGCAGCTTAATATGTTTGTGGAAAATGTGATACTTGGTGAATAGAAGTTGAAGCGAACAGTATTTATTTGAAATAGAAATCTGTTAGTTTGTTTCAAACTAAAAACTCTTACTGACCACAAACCTTTGACAACAATTAAGCTGATTTTGACTTGGACAAACTTACCTTACGAGGCACAGTCATTACAATAGGTTCACACTTTCTCTCGTGGAGTTTATAGAACCTAAAATAAATATGCAATAATCCATAATTTAAAATGCTGACCTTTTGTATGTTTGTGGGAGAAAGCAAGTACACTATAAGCCTGGATGTGTTTACCTTGCAATCTCACACTTGTTGACTTCCAGGCCTCTCTTAGGCATGTAGCCCATGCCCTTCTGACTCTCTTTACTGCTGTACATGGAGAGATAGTGAACGTATGGGGCCTCGTCCGTCACCTCAAAGTATCTGATGCTGCTGTCACCCTGTCAAACCAAATACACTGGTTAAAACATCCAACTTCATGAACAAACAGCTCTTCATGGTCATAAAATTTGAACTTGGTTCAAAACTTGAATGCATTTCCTTACCTTGCCACAAAGGTAGACTACACCAGTGTCAGGGTCAAAGAAAGGCAACAGCACCCCACTGCTGGTGTCCAGCTCCTGCAGGTTCAAGGGCTCACTGAAGTTGTTCTGCAACCACAAACACACTTTTATGAGTCACTTGCTTGTAAAACTGAAAAAGAGAGCCTCTGAAGCACATGATGTACTCACAGGATCCCACAGCGCCACCTGACGCTCACTCATGCGGCTGAAACCGGTGGTCAGGATCTTCCCATCAGACACAAACACAGCTCTGACTGGCCTGGAGCCCTCATGAGGCTTGTCCTTCTCCTGAACACACATATACACAGAAAGATGATACACAGATATGAGCAGTGACAAATCACGTGACAGTAAATGAGCTGGCAGAAAGGAACGTATAAGAAAGAGAAAAAGCTATGAAAGAACACTATAAAAATGTTCACAACTTCAATTAATTGATTTACAGTAAACAATGCAACCATATTAATTATTTATGCCCCATGCATTCTTTTTTCAGCATCATTCACATTATTTTATCATTTTATTACAGTGAATTCATGCACGCACGCAGATGACGGAGCCCTTGCGGGGGTCTATCACTCGTAATTTCTTGTCCTTGCAGGAAGTGAGGATCTGAGAGCCGTTTCTGTTCCAGCAAGCGCTGTAGATCAGATCAGTGTGCATCGAGTCAATGCGCACCACTGCCTCTCCATGAACCACGTTCCACAGGATGACCACGTTATCACAGCCTGCATAAAGAAAACGAGAGAAAGAGAGAAGGACCACAAGGTAAATGAGGTATACAGGGAGACATTTATGATAAACCCGAGATGTGTGTAAAGAAGTGTGTGTGAAAAATCAGCAGAGGGCGTCATCATTCCATTTCAACTGCCTCTAATTTGCATGAACGAGTGCATGCATATATAGGTGTAGTTCTAGCCTGTACTTTTGGCTATTGAGTGGGTGGCTGATGTCGGTTTACCTGCACTCATTAGCACATTGTGGGCAGTGGGGTGCCAGCTGAGGATGCCCACACGTTTAGAGTGACCGTCCAGCTTCACAACTGGGTCCTTCAGTGGTGATATGAGACCCCCATCTGGAATCTCCCAGATCTATTACATAACAACATTGACCTTAAGTTATAATAAGTAGTATGAGCTAGACTTGCCACAATATTATATTTTTCACACCAGTACGGTAGCTGTGTTCAAACGGTAATATTCCGACATTATTGATGGTTGTATCATACACAGCAAAATTTACCCTTTAGCACCACCTGGCATAAAACGCTAGTTGGTGCTAAGGGGTAATTTTGCTGTGCAATTGGGGTTCTCAAGGGATTCAGAGGGGTCCCCAAACTTTTTGGTCAGCCGAACCCCTTAGGAGTAAAATATTCACTTTAATGGCAGGGTATGTGATTTTTCAAAAACACTTTAGAAAACTGATTCGGGTCGAATCGCAAAACAAACTTGTAGCCAATCAGCAATAAGGGGCGTGTCTACTCGTGATGTGGAGGAGAGCGCGTTCAGTGCATGGGAAGGTCATTAGCGGAGCCGAGCGACAGAAAGATAGAGATGGCGGATAAAAAACAAAAGAGGAAAACGTCTGCGGAACGATAAGGCAAGAAGTAGGACCCGTGTAAATATCGGATCAGCTTTCCAGCGCTGGAGAGAACTCAAGGAGCGGAGGCCTGCGATCGGACGCCGAGGTTGCTTTGTTTCTTCTCAATAGGTGAGTAACACAATCTCCATTGCTCTGACAAACAGAGCAGAAAGAGCAGGAGAGACCTCAGACAGATGAGGGGGGCTGTGTCAGCTGATCTCAATTTTACAGCTATGCCTTCAATTATGCCAAATAACTACTAACCCGTTTAGAGAGGACCGCACTGTGCAGGAGTTCCCATCATGCACACAGAGAGCACATTCTCTCTGCCAAAATCACATTGTTAAATGTGAGTGTTGTGTGCAAGTCCATGCACAGAATTCTTCTATAAATTGTTATTATTATTATTACTATTACTATAAAGTTAAGGGCTGCAATAAGTTAAGAAATATTACAGTGATTTACGACTGGACTAAAGCATTGTTGTTGTTAACTTAAACTAAAACTATTTAAAACCACTGTTAATGTAAAATAAAGCTTAATATGAAAAACAAAAGTTAGAAATGTTGCCTTGGCAACTAACTGAAAGAAAATAAGTTGAAGTACTAAAATTACTAAAAGTTAAATAAAGATATTTTTTTTATTTCGAGATAAATATTTTGAGATACATTTTAAATAAAATTAATTAATAAATTAAAACTACATAGAAATAATAAAAACGAATAAAAATTAAAAAACGAAATGATTAAAACTGGAATTAAAATTAAAATGAAAACTGAAAATATAAAATTAAAGCTAATTGAAAATATGAATAAATACTATAAAATTATATAATATTAAAATAATACTAGTCTAAAGATAATTTAACCATTGTCAGATCAAGTGACTGGTGACTGACTTAAGTTCTTAAGTTCAAACAGATATTTACATCAAATTCATATTTTCCAAAAGAGTCTTTCTTCTGGTACAATGGGGTCCAAATGTCTGAGACCACTAGTTTTACATTAATATCTAATTTAATACAAAAATACTAATTACAAATTATATTATCAGCATGTCAACTTGAGTTGATTAATGTCAGTTAATTAATGTCAGTATTTCTATAGTGTCATGCGTGAACTCCACAAGTTTGTGCAAAACCAGATGATCATGCTATCAGTCTCAAAACTGAGCTTTCAAAACTTCCTCAAGCCACCCGAACGAAATAAAAGGGCTTGACTCGAATCCTCCTGTTCATTGGGAAACAATGGCTGCCATTGAGCAAAGCGCAGAGTGTAAGATGCACAGCAGATTGAAAATGACAGAACTCCCATTCATTCTCTAGTATAAGGAGTGCAGAGAGAGCAACATATAGAAACAGAGGACCAGAGATGATGGACAGAGAAGATGAAAAACAACAAAAAGAAATAAAATGGCATATGAAATAAACTGTACAACCCCCCAAAAAAAATAAAAGAGGAAGGGAAGAAAATGTTTCCACCATCTTTCTGTTAGAGATGCAAACATAGCACTTTTCAGTCATAAAGCTTTATGAAGTAAAAAGTACATATTCAAATTTTAAACCAAGCTTTTTACACGAAGAAAGCAGGCACATCAAGCCTAAGTGGCAGCTGTCCTTTTCTCACAGTTTTTGTCACTCACTCAATCTGCAAGCTGTCACCACATCCTGTGCAGAGTTGACAGCAGCGCACTCCAAATATGGCAAAAACAAGATGCAAGAGAGCATAAAGAGAAGGGATGCTAGGTCTAGTGACACGTACATCTGAAACTCAACCTTGAACTTCCTTATTTAGACAAACACTGCATGACATGTCTACAGTTCAAAATTCAATGGCCTTGGAAGATCATTTGAAGCAGGTAACAGGTTAAAACTACAGTTGGTCTAAAACTATCAGTCTGGACTATCAAGTCCTAAATCAGTCCAACTATACATACAATACTGCACTTCATCCAAGGTTTGTTTTATAAAGACTTTATTTGAATTCATTAAAGAATTCATTTGAGCTTAATGAGTCTGAAATGCTATCTGGATGCACCTTGCTCAGGGGCAGGACAATGAAAGCTCCTCCACCGCTGGCATCCACAATCATGGCCACAAACTTGGGGTTGACAGAGCAGAAGTTGCTGTCCCAGGTCATCTGGGAGATCCTGATGTCATCATAGCACTGGTCCGCCTTCACCGCCTGGCCGAAGACATGGCGGAACTTACTGGTCCTGACCACCTTCCTAGACATGATCACCTGAGGAAAGGCAGAGAAGGAAGAGACACAGGGATGGAGAGAGAAAAAGCATACACATGAGAAACAATTGGAAAAGTAAACAGGCTATGTTTTCATCATTAAGTTTTGTGTATCTTAAAGTTTGTGCATCTTCATATAGGCTACATGATTATATACTGATTGAATCGAAGCTTTTTTTTTTTTTTTTTTAGATTTAGCTATTTGTGATTTGCAGTGAATCTGACTGACTCCAATTCCAGCATTTGATGGTGATCTTAACTCTGAGTCAGTGTGCTTGCACTCAAGTTGTATTCTTCATTTAATACCCAAATTCTCTTGAATTCGAATGAATTCCTGTAAATGAACAGTTACAGATAAGAGACCAAAAGAGTGAAAACTAAAGAGAATGAATCTGCTCAACGTCTTTTTCAGCTTTCTATGTTTAAAACTGCATTTAGGCAATAAGCTCAAAGAAAGAGGAAGGAAAAAGGAAACTAGCATGAAGTGACAGAAAAGGAAATGCTCGGGCTGCTACTTCAAGTCTGATGCCACTTTGTCTGCAGGTTTTAGTAATAAAGCATTTTGCTTTATGCCCCCTTCTCATCTATTTCGCTCTCTGTTGCCCACTTTTTTTTCTTTCTCATCGCCATATCAAATGCAGTCTTGTGCATATGCATAATTAGTTGACTAACAATCATCACTCTCGTTTGCAATGCATCACCGATGCCCTGTATGCTCACAGCACTCAGTAAAATAAACTGAAAAATGAAAGGTGCATTAGAGCATTAAATAGACTGAGAGGAATCTGTCGTAACTGGACTAACACCACAGCAACTGTGGGAGCGCAGGAGATGTTCAGAACTTCAGTTACACCACATCCTTCCACACAAACATGTAAACCACTGAGTTATTTCTACCTGCTTTGAAGATACTGCTAAATGTTTTCATCATGATCTAAAAAACACATTTGTTTAAATCCAGTTAAAGTATCACAATGATTATTATATTCAAAGTGGATGGAAAAGATGTAATTAACTGCAGGTTGTACTCGTGTTGTTCTAAACCTGTGACTTTTTTCTTCTTTAGGAACACAAATGGAGATGTTGGGCAGATTGTGAGCGACTCAACTTCAGTCAGTCACCATTCATTTTCATTCATGGATTTTTTTCATCCAGTGAAAGTGAATGTGAGAGATTCATTCAGCCTAACATCTTTTGTGCTCACCGGAAGAAAGTAGGCTAAGTCATGCAGGTTTGGAATGACATGAAGGCGAGTAAGTATAAAGACAGAATTCTAAGTTTTATTATTATTAGCCTACTACTATCATGGTGGCTTGAAATACTTGTTCTTTATAATTTCTTCCAAGCTTAAGATATAAGAGCAATCTCTTATATAGGCTGCACTATTTCTATGCAATAATATGCAGGACTCAGTCATATCAGCTTCATCTTTATCTGGAAATACAGTTTAGTTCTCCTACTAAACTTCCTCAAATATGAGAGATTCATTCAGCCTAACATCTTTTGTGTTCACCGGAAGAAAGTAGGCTAAGTCATTCAGGTTTGGAATGACATGAAGGCGAGTAAGTATAAAGACAGAATTCTACGTTTTATTATTATTAGCCTACTACTATCATGGTGGCTTGAAATACTTGTTCTTTATCATTTCTTCCAAGCTTAAGATATAAGAGCAATCTCTTATATAGGCTGCACTATTTCTATGCAATAATATGCAGGACTCAGTCATATCAGCTTCATCTTTATCTGGAAATACAGTTTAGTTCTCCTACTAAACTTCCTCAAATATTTAACGTGCCTTGCCACAGTTCTGAAAGGCAGCTCGACAAATTTAGCAACGACAAAACAATAATATAGAAAACAGTAGTAAACCGAGTAAAAACTTAATTTATTATGAACGAGCCGCAGTTTAGGGCTGTGTTTCAAACCCTGCTTATCTAAACAGCATTTAAGGCAGTATAGAAGCGTTTAGGCGCGCCCAGTATGCTGTCTAGTTAGTCAGCTTACTAGGTCTTGAGACGCAGAAAAGATGCAAAATTATGAACCGTTTCCAATAACACCGGACAGGAGCACAACACACAAACACACAATATGATGGGACGGTGGACTGTACCTGAGAACTGTGGCTTGGGAGGGACTCTGGCGCCTGAGGCGAGAGGATGAAACGCTGGACTCTGACAGATGGAGAGAAGTGGGTGAATGCCAGCAGTTGCGGCCAAAGCTCACTCTAAATCAAGGAGGAAGTGAGAGTTTGAGATGGAGATGTCAGATGAGAATGGGAGGTGTCCTCGCTTTGTTTCCTTTTAAAGTGATTTACGTTGCATGAAGCTGCACCTCACTTGATCTCACACTTTATCGTGGTCATAGCAACACAAACGTGACGTGCGCGAGCATAAAGTTTGCGGTTTGGCCGACGTGTTTATCTGAATGTTATCTCTCTATTGAACTTTTCTGTGTTTTCACTCAAATGTCCTACGCTTTCTTTTGTTACAATAGTCAACGCTAAAACAGTGAAATTCAGCATTAAAGTAATGCCTTTTACTTAAAAAATTTACCATGGCAACCATATTTTCCGCCAAAATGTCGCAATTAATGCAATTATTGTTGCAATTTGGTAACGATATTAGCCACCATTTTTGTCATCCAAATTAAATAGATATTGTGAAAGCTACTTACACTGTTTGAAAGAGGTTAATTTATTATGTTTTGTCATATTTTTACAGTATGTAGTTTGGTGGTAAGTAACTAGTTATAACCTTTTTACCTTAAAATCACAATATTTGGGTTTGATGATTTTATTTACTTAGGCCTACTATAAATAAGTCATATAAAGTAAATAAACTATATATAATTTTTTTTTCTTCACTTTTCACTTTCAATTGAACTCTGATCATATAAATTAATTTTCACATTTAAATTAATTTTTTTATTTTCCGGGGGGAAAAAAGTTATAAGGGTTAGGGTTAATTTCTCAAAAGTGACAGATTTAATAAATAGAGCAATATAATAATATAAATAAAAAAATTTTTTTAAACTTTACACCCACAGTCACACAAGCACTTCACCACACCTGTGAGAATAAATAGACAAACATGAATTAAGTGGAGGTCAAAATATAAAAGCAGGCGCATATCCTGTTTGCATCAACAGTCATATTTCAAATAATTTAGAAAATAAAGAAAGGCAAAAAAGACGATTTAAAAATATAAACCTCAATTTATTGCACACTCGCTGCAGGAAACCGTGGGGTTTGGAAGATCTGTCTTGTGTGAACAAACGTAACTGTGGACACACAAATAGACTGAGAGAGAAATATAGGCCCATAAAACAAACCAACAGAGACACACGCTTGTAGAAAAAACAACAAAATTTACAACAAGAAATGTTTATGTAAAATTAAAGTTATAATAATTTTTGAAATAAATGAGTTTAGGACGCCTAATAAAACAACAAAAAAGAAAAATATACATGCCCAATAGGGCTCAGTGCGTGACCTGTGAATGGCTTCATCCAGAAGGTCAACATGGTTTATCTGAACATCATTTATGTTGTTACCGACTTATTAGAGTCAATAGAGCGCTGTGGCCACCAGATGGTGCCAAACAACCAAATTCAACAAAGACACACAAGCAAGAGTGGAAACAAAAAACGACAGATCTTTCAGAGACCTCCTGTCTTGCTTATGTGCATTAGTATTCTCAGCCTTTGTACTTAAATTAAGATGATCATTGATAGTGGTAACCCATCTCAGAATAATAGTAATAATAACAATATATCCATTATCATAATAACGCGAAATGTAACTAATTATGAATTTTTAAATTATCATTAACAGGCTATCCAGCACCTGCATACTAAGAAAACAAAGTTATTATAGTTTCATACATCATGTCATTATTTTTTAACCACAGGACATTAGAATATACAGACAGGAGAATAGCATCTTTGTTCCTCCTCTAAAACATGGGTTATGATGCAATCCATTTCCTTGAGGGCTCAATGTAACATGCTCTGCACATTCTCACATCACCTAACTAACTACATGAATAAACACATTCTTGATCAGCATTTATGGACACATTCGGCCCCACAAAGGCAATATGCATCTTGAAGGACACACAGTCCAAATGCCTGATGACTGACAAGCCATCGTGACCTTTGCCCTTAAAGACATACAACTGTCATCAATTTTTTTTTTCAGTCCTCGATTTTAACCAGAACAAGCAAAGAAGACATGACAGGATGAAAAGAAAACTGGCCCAAAATCAGTTGTTGCGGTCACTCAGTACAAGTGAGCACTGACAGGGCACCCTGAGAAGAGGAAACCCCAGGATGGCATGGTCCGAACTAAACATATTGGTGTGAACACACAGATCTATTTCTTTTCAGGACTGGTAAAACATCTTGTTTTTGGAATTCACATGTACAAACATGTTTGTGTATATATATGTACAGATTTCGATTATGCATAGTTATCCAGTGGGTTTCAGAGGTAATAACATATCAGGACCCCAAACCAAAACATCTGTATGCCTCTCTGTACTTTTCATAATGTAAAAAAGAGATTTTGCCAACCGAACTATATTACAATTCCTTCTAAACAGTTTAAAAAACCAAAGACCATGTTAATGACATTATGACATCATAGTAGTACAGACATATTATTATGGCGTTAACCCTACTAAATAATTTAACAGCATTGTTAACTCTCCTGCCAGGCCTGTCATTGTGATGTCACAATTTTAGCTTTTTACAGTTACAGAATGATCAAATCACTGCTGCCTTTCAAATGAAATCGGACAATCCATATTGAGTGTCACTCTCCGAGATGAAATATATTAACATTCAATATATTTTCTTAGAACATTGTTGCTCTATATATTAAAATGATTATATAAAAATGTCAGTATGTATGCCACTTGCATTTTATGCATATACAGTCTACATACAGGTATTTACGTTACCTATATGGACTTTTAAGTTCTTTAATTGGTTTTCACTTTGATCCAAAGCCCTTTTGGTAAAAAAAAATGTTAAAAAACAGTGCAGTTAATTACTCAATATGGTTGTATTGCCTCTGGGCTGCTCTCTTGATTTCATTCCATTTCTAAAGACAGATTTATTTGATGCATTAGCTCTGTTACTGCACATTAAGCACATATGTCAGTGGTTGCATTGCACAAGCATTAGAAATCGCATGTTGTGTTTTAAGGGGATTAGTTTACTAGTATTTGCATGCACCACTTGATTTCAGAGTCTAATGTTTGTCATTTAATAGCATTAAAGGGGTTGGGGTAAACCTTCCCTGTTCTGGGGGACTTGTGGTTTGTTTTTAAAACCACCCCGGTCTTCTAAGATCAGGACCGTCGGGCTCGACACCTGAGGCCCTGAAACATCTCATTTGGCATTTGTCAGATACATCTGAGCAACATTCTACCTAACATGCACTGATTCTACATTAATAGGTCTGATCTCTGCTATAGCATAGCAGAGTACTCTGGTTGTTTAAAGATATGTGATCTCCAACTGGTTAAAATAATATATAAAAAAAAAAACAATAATAAAAATAAAAACAGTAGTAGTAGCATTCAAATAAATCATCTTCAAACATTGCCAAATGTTAAAACATCATCTTAAATATAATAAATATAATGCCAATGATACGGAGTGAAGGTAATTGAAATGAACGGCAGGCCTCACTGATGTTTATTCTAAAAGCTACATTGTGATAGTGTCAGTGAATCTATCACATCGTGTTGTTTGTTTGTCAGTTCTTTAAAACTAGTGAGGTTGGAAGGGTTAGAAGAGTCATCCTTGGTTTGTTCCGCTCAGTAGTGCATAAGTGTGCTAAGACAACAAATCCAAATGTGCAAAACGGCATAATACAGCCCATTTGGAACAATGTGAACATCTCCATAGTGCAATCTGCATTAAGAACTGGTTTAGTTTACATTAATCACATTCTAAAGTAGATATAAAGGTGACTGACTATTCAGCTTTAGTAACTCTTTTGGCAACTTTTCTTAAATCAAAGGGACCATTATGAATTATATCCAATCAAGTTCATCCCATTACTAGGGATTTAGATCATCCGTATATATAGCATTAATTTGGCACAAATCTGCAGTACCAGTATTCCCCTAGTCTTCATTGGGGAACTCATAGTGTATTGGCATGTGTAATATTGCTCCATTCTGGAGTCCAATATTCATCTGCCACATCTGAGGAGCGGGAACATCAGGTGCGCAGTGGGCGAGGATGGCCAGCAGAGAATTAAAGCCTTTGTGCAAACAGCACGCCATTAAGAAAATAATTTGCCTTGTCTTGAATCCAAGGTTACATAGATAATTGAGGTTAAAGGTCAGAAAGAAATTAAATCTAATTTAGAGCGGTACAAAATCCAATCTTCCAAACTACAGATTAGGATATTAAAACCCTACATGTACAAGGCTGAATTGACTGTTCAGCGGCACAGCAGAGAAAATATCTTCTGCAGGTAACGTAAAATGTTTCCCAGGGTATTATTAAAGTCGCGCTCCTGCAAAAACTGCATTGAATAAATGCCCCTTAGATGCTAACAAACGTGATCAAAGTCACGGAGGGCACTAAGAAATAAAATAGGCACTAAGCAACTTTAACCATTCAGTAAACGTATAAAGGTCAAGGCTACAAACCAAGGAATGACCCCTTCACCCTTCACTTACAGGTATCAGGGTGAGATTGTGAAAAATGTGGACCTGAACACAGGGAGATGACACAAAAAAAAAGAAGAGTGTGATAAAACAAGTAAAGTCAACTCAAGTATTTCCAGTAAATGTTGCTGTGAGACTGGGCATACAGTACGTGTGTATGTGTGTGTGTGGTGTTAGCACTGATGTAACATTTGATATGCTGCATAGTCTGCAATAGAGTAATAAGTTGAAAGTTGGTGGTGCATACATCATTTCTGCACCGGTGGTCTTTGTTTGTATCACCAGCAAAATTGAGAAGAGACAAACCGTAATTAGTTTTCACAAAAGCCATGCTATTTTGTGCCACAAATTTTAGATTATGTGATACGTTAAATCTTGCTTTTCGAGAGCCAATCATTTGAGGGCTCAATCATGTCTTTCACTGTTCAGCTACAACTAAATTTAGAGGTTATAAATGCTTTAAATGCTGGTGAACATATGACATCAAATAATGTCAGACCTCATATGTGTGTGTGCGCCTATAAAATGTGTAGGTCTCAAACCCAAAAAAATTAGATTTGTTTGAGCTAGCAGGTCTAAACAGTGCCATGCACAGACAATGTTTATGCAAACACGGATATGTACATTCTGGCTACTGA